AAAAAAAAAAAAAGGTAAAGCAGAGGTAATGTAGATAGGTATAAATTAGCTAAAGAAAAAAAAAAGAAGGCAGAAAAACAATGGAGGCAAAAACTTGTTTCAAAAATCATTGCTACAAACACTCTAACAAAATAATCCAGTACCTAGTAGTTTTTCTAAAAAAGAAAGTGATCCACTCATCTCGGCCTCCCAAAGTGGTGAGATTACTGACATGAGCCACTGCGCGCCTATCCTACATTACCTCTAATTTTTTATTATTATTATTATTATTATTTTTATTTTTATTTTTTGAGATGGAGTCGTCCTCCATCTCATTTATTTTTTGAGATGGGGTTGTCTCGCTCTGTCGTCCAGGCTGGAGTGCAGTGGTGCGATCTCGGCTCACTGCAAGCTCCACCTCCTGGGCTCACACCATTCTCCTGCCTCAGCCTCCCGAGTAGCTGGGACTACAGGTTCCGGCCACCACGCCTGGCTAATTTTTTTGTATTTTTAGTAGAGACGGGGTTTCACCGTGTTAGCCAGGATGGTCTCATCTCCTGACCTCATGATCCACCTGCCTCGGCCTCTCAAAGTGCTGGGTTTACAGGCGTGAACTACCGCGCCCTTTATATTGGCTAATTGTTGTCGCCACATATGGTTTTGTTTTCTCATGTGGATGGGTAGGTCTTTTCGAATATTTTGAGTTACTTCACTTATATAACAAATATTTATCAAATGCATCCATTATGGCCCATCCTTACATCAAGTATCAAGGAAACAAGGAACAGGATACAGACAACTCTAACCTTTAAGTATGTAACAATCCAGGAGGAGAGAAATAAAAGGCACATAATTATAACCAGTATGTGTATTTTGAGTGCATTGAGAACACGGCTGTGCTTAGAGGTTAGGGAGAGCGTTCTCCCAGTAAGTAGTGTTCATGAGTTGGTCAGGTAAGACTCCAGTTGGAGAAGGACCTGAAAGGGTTGTCAAGCACAGGAAATATTTAACTGCATAAGAAGTTCACTTAAAACATTTCTATTTAATAATGATACTGCTTACAGTTATTTATTTCCTCTCAGGACAGCTTATACTAGGTGTCTTTATATTTTATATTAAATTTGCAAAGATCCCTTTTCCCTTCATGTCTTTCATAAAATGAAATTAACAAATTGAAATATGTTTGCAGGTGTTTGTGAAGAAATGAGGTTCCAGCTGGCAGGTAGAAGTTCACAGGTTATGGGGAGTTAGGACAGCCTCTCTCACCCACAGCAGTCTGGGCTTCGGCACACTGTCATGTTGGACTGCAACACTGAGGACCTGCTGACCCCTTCCCCACTGACCCATCCCAGGACCTTGTAGGTGAATCTTTTGGTAAATGTTTGACCAACTCTCCAGTCTTTCCATGTAGAGCCCAGCATGAAAATCCAAGAGAGCTGCTGGGTGCTCCCTCCCCGTGCCCAAACCTGCTATCTCTGCAGGATCAGGTGTCATGAAGTAAACTCATTTTACATCTGGAAGCCTCTTTCTCTAGGTCTGGCTGCCTCCTAGGCAGCATCGGGGAAGAGTCGCTCTGCCCCATGCCTTACTCCTTTCTCACATTCTGACATTCTGTTTCTCCTGTAAAGGCTAGGTCTTCTATGGCCTGGCTAGGGTGCTTGTGTGAATGAACTTGGGACAGCTTTGGAAAGGGTGGTTCTCCGTGCCTCTCACAGCAGAGAGGGAAAGTGGACACAAAACAAGGAGTTAAATGGGGATGTAAAGGGACTGTTTGCCTAGTGATTTCTGGGCTTGACTGCAAGAAGTCCACAGGGGTTATAGCTCCTGCAAGGCATCAATCCAGCAGTGAGGGGAGTATTAAGGCATTAGAGAAAATGACCAGCACTGTGTGTGGCAGGAACAACAGCCCATAGTCCTACTCCAGAAACGAAACATCCTGGATATCCCCACAATTTTAAATGATAAGGGGCAGATTTATTTTGATTCTGGAGAAACTTTTTGATGGGTTGTGGGGAGGTAAGATTTCTAAACAATCCTAACACTTCTGAAGAGGTGAGACACTCACATTGGTTTTGTGTAAGAGGTGCCATCAAAGCCAGGTCACTCCTGCCTGGGTGATTGCAGAAATGTCCCCCTTTCCCCACAGAACCCCCTTGAAAGACTTCACCAGAAGCTTTTAAACTGGGATGGATTTCATCTCAGCACGAACAGGGGCTTCAGCATTTCCAGCACCCGCCCCCACCTGTTAAGTAATGCCAGGAAGTGTTGGGAATTCCAGCTCCCAATCCAAATTATAATTCCCTCACCCTAATAGGACTCCCAGTTTACTTCTTTGAGGTGTTATGTGACACGTGTCCTCTTCATTATTAGTCTTCCACAGAAAAGTTTCTGGCTTTGGCCAAATGGTCTTTCCCACTCTTTTGTAGTTTAAAGGACTTCTGTTCTTATTAAAGCCCCTTTTCTCCCCCTCACCCCTTGCAGGACTAAAAATTCACAATGAGATTTTCCTTCAGGCATTGCCCCTAAAGCCCACTTGCGGCTCATTCCATCCTCTGAGGATTACCTAGTGGCTCACCGCAACTCAAGGGCTGCGAGGCCAGAGACATCCTGATGGGCAACCCACCTCCCTCTCTTAGGTGTCTTGTGTGTTTGTCAGAGAAAGCACCTTCACTTCTAACCCTCAGGAAAGATTGTTTCCAATCCCAGCTTCACTGCTCAACAGGAATATCACTTTATCAGGTTAATTAATCTCTCCAAAAGTAAGTTTCTTAATTTGCACAATCAGAATGATATTGCTTTCTCCAAAATATCCTAAGAATTAGAAAAATAAAATTCCTAGCCTTTTTGTATGTGTGGCCCATGAACCCATGTGAGTGTGGGCTCCCACATGAAATTTAAATATAAACTTAAAATAAAATAACCTAAAAACCACAGGGTGTAGGGGAGTTGAAGGCAGGTGGGGACAAATGTGGACTCTGGATTCATTGTGAGTTCTAGTCCTAGCGCCTTCTTTTATTAACCTGTATGAGCTATGGAAAGTCCATTACCTACATTATTCCTGTGTTTCCTCCATGGTGCAGAGGCAGTTGGTGCCTGCCTGACAGGCCTGTTGTGAGGATTAGATAAAAGGAGAAAAACACACGTCAGGGCTCATGTACAATGTCTCACTCTTTAAGTGCCCACAAAGCATCTATTAATTTTGATAAAATGTAGAAACTTAAGGGAAGGAAACTATTTTTGGTTTTTATTCCCATAGGATATGATTATGGACAATCTTACTGTTTTGTTTTTTATGCTTTTCTATATTTGTGCCTGTTTTTGAAATAAACATGAGTTACATTTAAAGACAAAACTACAAACTTCACAAATTTAGGAGTAATCATGAGCAGCGATTTTTCCCACCCCATTAGCGGAAATAGTTACATCTGTGTATACTGTAAAATAGAGAATTGTCTCACTCCCAACCATACTGCTTTGTTAAAATGATAACGTACACTTCCAGAAATGATTGTGTCACAAGAATCTTTAATGTTTCCTTTAAAGTTGACTCACGGTGGGGTTGTATATGTGTTTAGTAAAGTGTGCCAAGTGCTCTCACATTGAGACCAGTCCAGTTCAAATTAGTTTACTCCACGAGGATGTTTTCAGTCCCCAGCAAGGTCATGAGGGCCTTGACATTTCTTGGTCAGGCCGGCTTTGCTGGTGAGTTTTTCCAAACTCTGCAGGAGCAGTCTACCCCAACACACACCTCAGTCCCATGTAAAATAATAAGATGGAAACGTTTCAATGTACTTCATCAGTTTAGCACGTCTCTGATACAAAAATCCAAGAAAGGTACCACAAAAGCGAAAGCACCAACCAAGCTTACATATAAACGAACATGCATACATCCTAAATACTACACAATAGTACCCAAATGAATACAACATTGCATTAAAGGTATAAAAGCACTGTACTGAAAACGTAAAAGTTACACGTGAATACTGCACTGTAAATCCTGAACACTCTAACGACCCACCCCCACCCTTCCACAGCCCTGGTGAGGATCAGAAAGCATTCATCTGCCTCCAGACTTGGCTAGTCCTCGGAGACACTGCTGCGAGGGCAGTGGGCAGCGGGATTAGCCTCCCGCAGAGCTCTGGCCTCCTCCAGAGCCTCTCTGTATCGGGAGGGCCAGGCCTGGGGGTCTTTCTTAAAGACCCTGGCCAGGAACTCCATGATTTGCAGCTTGGTGATTTCGCGGCTGGCCCGGGAGCCCCAGAAGAACTCGTACTCGGGCGGCTCCACGTACGGGACGCGCTGGTACTTCAGGTAATTCTGCTGGACGAACTCCTCAGTGATGAGCTTCCGCACGTCCCCGAAGGTGGAGTGCTTCTTCCAGGGCCGCAGCCCCAGGATGCGGAGCACGTTCCAGACCGCGCTCTCCCTGGCGCCGCGGCCCTTCACGTAGATGAGGCTCAGGATCATGAGGAGGAGACCTGTCATGGGCATGCGGTTGCTCAGCGCCACCCTGTCCAGCTCCTCGGGCTCCAGCGCTTTGACCAGCGCAAACTCCATGGTGTGCAAGCTGGTTAGCCTCAGGTGCAGCCCGAACACCCGGGCGAGGATGAGGCTGGTGCGCCGCAGGATGCTCCTGCACCACTTCTTGTAGCTGCCGATGACATCTTTCACCATGTCTGGAAACCAGATGATCATCTTCTTCTGGTCCTTGACCAGCACGTACCACATGAGCTCGTGCGCCTTCTGCACCAGCTGCGCCGGGGCTGGCGGGGC